GTAAAACTAACACTTATCACAACATAATGTGGGCTCGCAGGCTGATAAACTAGGATATCTGATCTCGGTGGGTCTTAATGAGGCTTGATACAGACCTCAGTCAGTAGGCTATACTATATTATAATATGTATATTATATGGCTTAAAGTGTACATTCGCTCACATTATAAATGATGGTCGGGTTGCATTTTTCTGGAACTTTTTAACAAGGTTAATCTAAAATATTATAGTGTGGTGGTTCGATACGTCGTGTTGATCTGTGGCGCACTCATAACGCGCAGGGCTGGAGTGACTTTTGCTGTTGGGACTCGGGTTTGTGTCCAGCATGAACTTTTGTTATTTTCATGTCGATGGACACTGAATATTATGTAGTTTGAATAAAGGATTCCTAATATTGTTTGCCGAGACCAACATTAATGACCCATCAGCATTTTAAAGTCTAATATCCCTGCACATGCAGCAATGACATTTCTGCTGCTATCTTTGCAAAACGAGTTAACAGTCACATGTGATCTGGATGAGTGCTGCAGAATGCCGTTTTTATAAGGCATGTAGATGTGTGTGTCTTTCATATTAAACATGATCGCTGGTAGATAGCGACAGAAGTCGTAACACAGTTTAACCTGGGCGGATCCCATTTTCCCATGGGTGGATCCCAGTTGACCCTGAGCGAATCACAGTTTACCTGAGAGGATCACAGTTTATCACAGCTGAAAACTTCTCCACGCTGCTTTCAAACTCTGAGTAAACAACGTACGCTTCACTGGGAGGCTGTCTGAAGGTGTACACATGTTTCAGATGGACTTGGTATCACATTAGGAACGATATTCAGTGATAAGTCGGGCAACAATAGCTGGTTTTAATGATGTATTTGAGCGGATCACAACTTAACACAGCCGAAGACTTCTCCACGCTGCTTTCAAACTGTGAGTAAACAACGTGTGCTTCACTTGGAGGCTGTCTGAAGGTGTACACAGGTCTCAGATGGACTTGGTATCACATTAAGAACGATATTCAGTAATTAGTCTGGCAACAATAGCTGGTTTAAATGATTTATTGGAGCTCGCAATGTTTTGAACAGACATCCCCATGTCAACTCGTTTTTATTTGTGTAGTCCTCGCTGTTCGCGTCCGGATATCGCCATCGTAACCACAACCTCACACACTGGTACTGAATGTGCATCAAAGTGTTCCTATCGAAGCCTAATATACCAAAAGATTTATGTAAACGACAGAAGAAGCGATCGAAATGTGTATTTCAGTCGAAGGCCACGCCTCCACATCTGTCAACCAGTTGATCGGGGAACCAGTTAATCCGGAACACCGGTCGGATGTGATATAAAAACAAAGCGATTATTTTTGTTGTTGTAAACTCACGTGGATTAAATGTAGTGCATTCATTTCAACTCGCGAACATATGTACATTAAATGATCGTGAGGATGATGATTGAAAATCGTTTGTTTGAGCCTGGATGCATTTCCTGATCTAAAAACATAGTGATGCTTTTGTACTTACGCCAACGTGAATTAAACATTATTTTGTTAAATAAAAACATGGGGATGTTTAGTAAATGATTACATGTCTCTTATTTAGCACAGAATATGATCCTATCCGTGACATATGGATCTTAACAAATATCCGCGATATCAGATACCTGTAGATCAGCTGTTTATTTCACATGAGTTCCAGTGTGGCAGCTTTTTAATCACGGCTCCCCCTGGTGGATCCATGATCCATTGCAGCTGGTTTCATTATAATTAAATGTATTTATCAAGGGGGCGTTTCAAGTCCTGCGGGGGGGTTTTCCTTTTCAGCAGGGCCCACCCCGTGCCGATCACGGACCCGCACGGGTAGGCGTCTGAAATGGAGCGCTACATCTGTATGAACTCCCTTTTTATTATTTATAAAGTGCTTCAGAAATCAATAACATAAATGTCTTGACATTAATTTATAAACCAAAATAAATGAATTGTATAGCTCTAGCATCCCTATACAGTATCTGTGTGTGAAATTGTTCCATCCTCAAAAACAAAAAACTATGCTTCTGCAGTCTAGCTGCAGCTTCTAGCAACGGCCTTCTGTTAAAAAAAGGACACTGAATGTCCTGTGGCATCACACACAGGACTTGAGTCTGAACACAGCAGACAACAGGAGTATTTACAACAGCATATAACAACTAAAATACTGCATGCGGGTGCCTTTACATTCTCTGTCTTACTGTTACATGAATCCCATGATTGTATGAGACTAAGTTATCTTCATCATATCTCAATCAGTGATTAAGTGAATAATAAAGTTTCTATCAGGTTACTATCAGCCTGTCACTCATTATTTTCATGGAGGGGGCGGGGTTTGGAGCAACAGAGAGGAGACGGTGATCGCGGAAGCTTTCCTCCTGCCTTCACAAACTTTACACACGTATCGTCTGTAAATAGCAAGAAGACATTCATACTCTGCAATCCAAGACTTAACTAAATCCACCAAAAACCTGACATGATTGGAACGCCTGTATTTCTTTAAAACATAAACCCTGTGTCTCTGAGCCGCAGCGACACGGAGTGATTCAGAGCGGGTCCTTCTGCTGTTGGTTCTGGACTGGTGTTCTTGTGTTGGTGGATAAAGCAGACCGCTCCGTGTTTGGTGTCCCTGTGCCGTTGTCACGTCTGTTCCCTGATCTCTGTGGCACCGACCGATTAGATATTCAAGTGACATAAGTAACGTTATTGTAAAGCCGTGGCCGGAAAATCAGGAAGCAACGTTACTACGCTATAATCGATTATGTTCTGTCACTGCATCGATGCAGAATCGTCCACGTCCGCATCGTAGAAACGATTAATTTCAACACCCCTAATTGTCGGGCAAATGCATCTTTGATTACAAACTGTCGGGAAGGTGGGGCCTCTCCATCTCCAGCTGCCGTGTTTGCTCCCAGCTGGGGAAACGGAATGAGGTGGTTGTGTGTTTCAGTTTAAGGTTGGTCGTATTGCTAGCTTTTGTTGCTTCCTTTTTAAAACAAATGCGACACACCGCCCGGCTCATTCAAGTCCGTAGGTTCGCCTCGTTCATTTGGCCTAAATCCAAAATATTCCCACACTGGAGATGTGGTATTAGGTTTTGCAACCACTTCCATTTAACTTCAAATTCCCCTCGAGTAAGTCACACGTTGTCTCCTGCTTGTCTCTATATTATTCATTTGGCTGCAACACTGCTGAGTGTCCTGACCTGGCTGTGTGTGAGCCTCGCGGCGCGCCGGGCTAAAATGCCGGTCACATCCTTATGTAAACAAACATGCATGTAAACGGCAATTTATCGAGGTCAGAAAAGTTATCGAGTTCATTTTTATTTATCGTACGATAAGTAAATTAATTGCTTATCGCGACAGGCCTTTGTATACGAAATAGGATAATAAAACACTGTGAAAGGAGAATTATGAATGAAACATGTATCATAATTTGGAAATAATATGACAGTAAAATAACAGTTCAAAGTTTATGTTTTGTTAGAATAAAGTTGTGTTTAATAGTTATTGGTTATGTTTATATTATTGTACCATATACTGATCTCTATCCAATCGGTGTTGGGATTTGTTTTTATAGTTGTAAGGTATTTGGTTATTCATACTTGTGTACATATTAATAATAAGTATATATTACTTGTCTGCATGGGCGTCACTTTGTTTCAAAAGTGGTTGGGACACTTCTTTTAAATTAAACTATATTGCGCGCCACCCTTTTTTTGGTCCTTACTATTATCTGGTAGCACCTGCTGTGTCGAGAGGATTCACAGTCAGGCTACAGACGGTTTGGAAGGAACCATTATATAAATCTCTTTTAACATTTAATAACACAAAGCAAAAAGACTACGTTTACTTAAGGGAAACAGGCCAAACAACATTCCTGCATGTTTCTGAGTCATTTGAGAGTCAGTAGAGTAAGGAGGCTTCTTTTTTTTTAAAGCTGCAAAGCGGGATCAATGTATTTTTTTTGTGTACATTTTTAAAGTGTATTAACATCTTGACACTAAACCAGTGTTCTTATTTATTACATGTCTTTGTGCACGCTGTTTCTCAGAACATTTACAAGTTGTGCTTTTAGAAAGTCGTGGGGACAAAATTGGCCGTCTATGGTTGTCTGACGGATTACGTTCTTTATCATATTAAAAACGATGTATCTCAAGATGCGTTGGAGTTAAACTGAAGGGAGAAAGGTTCTGGACCTCCATGGTCTTCCATGGTTTCCTGTTTTTGTAAACACAGACACATTTGTTTATGCAGACATTTTCAACACAGGTCCTGATGCAGAAGAGTTCTTATGAGGCGTATTCCTCTTTATCAGATCAGAGAACAAACCCGATGTTTGCATTCATATATTTGTTTTGCAGACGCTCTCTCCGACCATGTTTTGAACCATGTTCACAACCACATTTATATCTATTGGTTATATAAGAGTAGACACTAGGGCTGGGAATCGCCAGGCTCCCTACGATACGATACTATCGCGATACGTAAGCCACGATACCATAGTATTGCGATTCTACGGTATGCTAAGTATTGCGATACGATATATTGCGATATTGCAAATCACATGGCTCATATCCATATCCATGTCCTTCTTCCTTTCCTGGTTAAAACATGTATTTGCAATATGAATAGTTTATTGAAATAACCCAATTTGTGTTCTTTGAACCTAAAAAGGAGATGGCATTGTCTTTGTTACTTTCATTGCAATTGTATACATGTATTAAACGTAACTTCCTGTTTTATATACGACCATCTTTCGGAGGGATATGCTACAGTTTATATAAAAAAATATCGATACTTGGCATCCGTGTATTGATACAATATCGCCACGCAAAGTATCGCGATACTATTCTGTATCGATCCCCCACCCCTAGTACACACAGTGGGGAGATTTCTCATTCAATTGATAATAAATGATTGAGTGTTAACATGAAATTAGAGTCTTCTAACATGTCTGCATTCATGTCATTGATCTCCACAGATACCCAGCAGGAGGAGTGTAGCCTCAGTGTTGTAGAGGAGGACCCAGAGCCCCCCCACATTAAAGAGGAAGAGGATGAACTCTGGTCCAGTCTGCAGATAGACCAGGAAGTGGCTGATACTTACCTCCCTTTCACTTCTGTGAAGAGTGAAGAAGAGGATGAAGAGAAGGCTCAGTCCTCCTCACCGCTTCATGAAATCAAGACTGAGAATAACCAACAGGTAGAGAAAACAGAAACTGATGAAGAGGAGTGTGAAGGATCAGATCCAGATGATCCTTTACAACCAGCTACTCAATACACAAGTTCACACTCTGAGTACGAGACTGACGACAGTAGAAATAGGGAGAAACGGCAAGACAATGAAGTACCCGGAAGTGGCATTGAGGGGGATGATGGGTGTGCTAGAAGCTTTGTGCATGAGGGGAATCTGCAGAAACACACTGGAGAGACACTTTATAGTTGCACCTTCTGTGATTTCACATCTGCGAAAAGGTCAGGTTTGACCAAACACCTCGAAGTTCACAGTGAAGCAAAACCTCAAAGCTGCTCAGTTTGTCAACAAACATTTAAAAGGAGAGGTGAGTTGGTGTCGCACATGAGAATCCACTCAGGGGAGAAACCATTCAGTTGTCCTGTTTGTGGTAAAGGTTTCGCATACAAGTCTATTCTGAATAGACACTATACTGTCCACACAGGGGAGAGACGAGTCAGCTGCTCAGTTTGTAGTAAAACATTTGCAACAGGAGACAATCTGAGAACACACCTGATCCTCCACACTGGGGAGAAACCATTCAGTTGTCCTGTTTGTGGTAAAGGTTTCGCATACAAGTCTCTTCTGAATAGACACTATACTGTCCACACAGGGGAGAGACGAGTCAGCTGCTCAGTTTGTAGTAAAACATTTGCAACAGTAGGCAATCTGAGAACACACCTGATCCTCCACACTGGGGAGAAACCATTCAAGTGTAAGGTTTGTGGAAAAAGATTCGCCGACGGGTCGAATCTGAAAATACACTCAACTGCTCACGATGGAGAGAAACCATTCAGTTGCACAGTTTGTGATAAAAGTTTCACATACAAGTCAATTCTGAATCAACACGTCCACCTCCACACAGGGGAGAAAGAATTCAGCTGTTCACTTTGTAGTAAAACATTCGCAACACGTGGCAATCTGACACAACACTCAACTGTCCACTCCGGGGAGAAACCGTTCAGTTGTACGCTTTGTAGTAAATCCTTCAACCAAAGATCAAATCTGAGAAAACACTTGATTGTCCACTCGGGGGTGAAACCGTTCAGTTGTACGCTTTGTAGTAAATCCTTCCCCCACAAATCAAGTCTGAAAAAACACTTCATTGTCCACACGGGGGAGAAACCATTCAGTTGTTCACTTTGTGGAAAACACTTTGCACAAATGACAAATCTGACACAACACTCAATTGTCCACTCCGGCCAGAAACCATTCAGTTGTACGGTTTGTGGTAAAGGCTTCACCCACAGGTCCAATCTGAGACAACACGCATATGTCCACGCCGAGGAGAAACCATACAGCTGCTCAGTTTGCAAGACAGGTTTCACTCGGGTGTCCAAATTAAATAAACACAAGTGTGCTGGTGAGAGAAGCAAAATAGAGTGAAGTTGCAGAGATTTTTTTCACGTTTTGTCTTAATGCAGATATGTTTAATAGAGTGGTGTAGTGTAGAGTCCTAAAACCCTGAAGTGAGTTAGCATTTTACCACTTCGTCTCAGAGCCAATGGGTTTTTTTTAACGTGTTTTCTTAGAGAGCGCCATGTGTAATTATTTGTCTCTCCCTGTCTGCCGCTCACACGCCTGTTCACTCTCCTCTCTGCTTCTCTCCCTGTATTTCCGCTTCTCTGTTACAAAAATGCGTCTTCCCTGGACCGCTCTAAGGTGTTGGGTTATACATGCTGTGTGAGTTGAGTGTAAATAAAGAATCGCAGAAATTCAACCTTGATGGTTTTCTTGTTTTTACTTTGCTTTTACTTTACTAGTCGGTTCAATCAACAGAGCAGTACAAAGAATAATGCAAATGTAATTACACACCGTTATGTTAATGGGAATATTATTTATTCTTTGCAACCATTTACATGCACTAAAACCCTAGATTTTGAATTTGATGGATGTAGAAATTAATAGCGTTGGTGGAGCAGTCTCTCTTTTTAAATGAATCTCTTCTTGGAAATATATATATCTTTATAAATGGAGCAGTGCTACTCAACTCATTTGCTTACAAGGGATAGTCCAGGGATTTTGTTGGGAGAGAGGGAGAGGGGGAGGGGAGAGAGGTGACACCCTCTTCATCCCACCTGTGAGGCAGCCCAGTTTTCCCACTGACTTGTTGGTGCTGGTTAATCATTCCTCTCCCCTCCCTCACTCAGACTCTAGCAAACCTCCTCATTTGGAAAGGAGCTCCTCGTGTTGTCAGACATGTTGAGGATTATCCCCTTTTTGTTCCTCGTGCTTTGCGGTCCGGTTCTCGGTGGGCCGGAGACAAACTTCCACGGAAACATGACGGACCAGGAGCTGTTCTGGGGAACCGACCAGTACGACTTCTCCGTGGTGGTTCCTGCCGCCGGCCTCGAGTGTTTCTGGCACTTTGCTCACCGAGGAGAGAGGTTCTACCTGAGCTTCATGGTGAGGCCCCGACACGAGAGGAATGTTTCAACGTTTAGTTTGACTTTTAACGCCTCTGAAAGTGAGGTTTTTAAATCGTGAGTATTTCTCGAAAAGCTTTTGGCAGTTAGGACGTTTTATTTTAACCCATACTCAAAGTTAGCTGGTGTTTCACAACAGCTGTCAGTTACTAACTTTCACAAAAAGCAAAACACAATACGTTACATCTTCAGACTGGCTTTTTATTCTTGTTTTAGAGGTGAAATACACAAATATGACTCTTAAAACATAGGGAAACTTTAAATGGAGAGGTTATAGGGTAAGTAAATCCAATGGTCAATGAGTTTGGGAGCACACACATTTTATGTGAGATATTTATGGTCAAAGTGGACATTTTAACCTGAATACATTTACAAAATGTATGTTTTTTAATTATGTTTCATGGCATGTCTTACGGAGCCCCCTAGGGGACATGGAGAAGAAAAAAAATGTTTGCGAGATATCTCAAAACCTTTGCGAGATCTCGCAATACCTTTGCGAGATCTCGCAAAACCCGTTGCAGTTTGTAGACGGTCCCTTAGCACTCCTCTCCCTCCTCCAGCTGCAGATTGTGACCAATTCTTGATGTTTAGCTCGGATGACGGCGCGTATCGAACTGTTCTGATAGAAACGACTCTGTAGCTCGTTGTCTTCCTTGCTATGATTGTTTGTATTTTTACAACGTTATGTTCATGAGTTATTGATCCGCGAAATTCGAATCTGTCAATAACTCAGCTCAGAGGGACGTGCATGTCCCCTCGCTCTGAGTGTTCTCTTGAGGTGTCTTCACTTATGTGAAACCCTTTTATATATACAGTCTCTGTGTGAAACCCGTGCCTATTGCCAAGCACTGATGTTATATCTTTATATTTAAGGCCAAGCTCAAAGTAAAATCGATGAACCGCTCCATTGTTGTGGTTTCTGTGTTGCCGTAGTAGCCGAACTGACCAGGAAGTACATTGAGCTAAATGAAAAGTATTGCGAGATCTCGCAAAAGTATTGCGAGATCTCGCAAAGGTTTTGCGAGATCTCGCAAAACATTATTATTATTATTTTTTTCAAATACATTTTTTTTCTTCTCCATGTCCCCTAGGGGGCTCCGTACTTATATATTTGTGAAATCTTGAACACATGGTAGCTTTAGATGTCAGGGGGGAAATACAATCAAAATTACGTCACTGTGGCTGCTTCTCAGGTCGACTATTTTCATTTCCTCGCTCCTCGCTCCTCGGTCTCACCAGAAGTTGATTTGCCTGCGCCATCTTGAGTACCGTCCCATGGCTCTTATTTCTGATCGAGGAGCGAGGAGCGATCATGGAGGAGCGATAACCGAGGAACCACCAGACCATCCTCCGATGAAATCCTCAGACACTCACCCCGCCCCCTTACTGTGTATCGCTCACTGATTGGACGAAGCAGTGCATGCACTGATCTGATGCTTCTTGACATCAGAGCAGAGTGAAGAAAACACATGAACCTCACGGGACTCACTCCTCAGTTTATACCGTGTTTTGTTTCAATTAATGTATAATTTAATTACAAATATGTGATATATCTGAACAACAAAGTGGTCAAAAATCATTTTATTCATTTTTTGGAAACATTTTCATGATCGCTTTTTTCGTTTTACATTTTCATTTATTGTCATTTCCATTCAGTCATTAAGTGCTATTAAAATGTTAATGTGCTACATATCCACACAAACACACAAAGTGTGCAATCCAATGAATGTTAATCTAACTGGGTTTTGATAGATAACATATCTCTTTTTCTTCTCTCAATTATTTTATTTCTATTGTGCACTCTAATCAATATTAATCTAACTATTGTTCGTTTATACATTTTAAGAATGGCGTTTATCTTTTTTGAGAATGTCTTCTTATTTTATTTCATGTATTTGGATCTACAACAGATGATACTAATGTTTATGTCAGTAAATGTGTACTAACAGAGGCGGGGGTGTTTGTGGAAATAACGGGGACAGAGCTGTTGCCAGACGAACAGCTGTGCAGCGTCATCACAAACGGACGTCGCTTCACGTGACACTCCGGAGGAAAGGACGTCCCATTGCTCTTAAAACTCATTTTATTACATTACATTACATTGCATTTAGCTGACGCTTTTATCCAAAGCGACTTACAATAAGTACATTCGACCAGGAAGACACAACCTTGAAGAAAACAGAATCATATAAGTACATCAGGTTTCATAGAGCCAAACATTTCAAGTGCTACTCAACTGGCTTTAGGTAAGCCAGTCCTTTATTAGTATAAAAGTGCTTCGTTAATAGTTCTATCGCTCGAAGTGGAGTCGAAAGAGATGAGTTTCCCTGCTTCTCGTGGTTTCCTTGCGTCTCTCCTTGCTTCCCTGGTGGGAGGGACTAAACGCAGGGAAACGACGCAAGTGAGGGAAGCAAGGATTTCATTTAATCGACCTGAGAAGCAGCATGTGGACGCTCCCAGCAGCCTCATCATGGCCACTGTTGATGGTGCAAAGGGTCAGATCAACTTTGAGACCGAGGAAACAGGTGACACACAATAATGTTGATGCATTTCATAACACACACACACACTGTGTTATTTTAATTGTTATTTTAATTAATTAATTAATAGTGAAATGAGATGTTTCAGCATCATTTTCAGAGGTTGATACGACAAGCAAAAGCATATTAAAATACATATTTTACATGATATTAATTGAATATGCTATTCCTTGCACACTTGCATAATATCCAGCTTTTAAAAATGTGTTACTGTATTTTGGCATTTATTAGACAGAGCCTACAGATTTATATCTTTCACTCTCAACCTTTCTGTGTTATATTTTATGTTTGTTTATTTTCTACTTTTTTTAGTTTCAAATGATGTGCAATGCCCTTTTTAACATGCTGCTGTGACAGAGAAACACTGTCCCAATTTGGTATCAATAAAGTAAATAAACTAAATCCTATATTATACTTAAGTATAACTTCAAGGTTTATTTGAGTATGTCCATTTTCTGCTTCCTATTCTTCCATTTCAATACTTTTTTGAGGCAGATTTGTTTCTTTTTACTCCACTACATGTGTCTGAGAGCTTTAGTTAATCTGCAGAACAAATCCATGTTATGTTTTTTTATGGATTAAGAAATAACCTTATTGATTGTTTTTGTTAAACAGCAGTGTATATGTAAAGACAGGTTTGTTTATTTACACATTTCAACAACAAGGCTTCACAATAACATAAAAAAAGTTGTTCCAGTTATAATAAAATAATAAACAGATGTTGAAGAGCCATAGAATAGAAATGTAAAAAGGTTTAATTAGAATATGATGGGTATAAAATACAAAAATAAAAGTTGCAGTGCTGTAAGGAATTCATAATTATTTAATTGAATAAAAGGCAGCAGCAAGTATTTTAAAATAAGCATTAAGGCTATCACTTTGACTGAAGAATCATTTCAATATTTTATACATAATATATTTTATATAACGTTCTGTCTCTACAGGTTTCTATCAGATGTGTTTCAGCAACTTCCACAACCGCTTCGGCACCATGCAGGTGTTCCTCAGCTTCGGCGTTTACTACGACGGATACAAAGACCCCGACAAGACCAAAGAGGAAGAGAAGAAGAAGAAAGAGGAGGCCAGCAAAGACCTCAACAACACACTGAGCGTCATAGAGCTACACACACACACGGACACACACACACACACACACACACACACACACACACACGCACACACACACCAGGCCCGGCTCCAGGATGAAATGACTGAGGGGGCTGTTTAAAAATCAGAGGGGGCGATTTTTTTTTCACAACAACTAAAAATACTGGCAATGTAATGAATTGACACACCAAGCTTTTTTCCTTCTCACTGCTCTACAATCTCTTTGTTTCTTTATTTTTATTCCGGATTGACCCCTCTCATTCTGTTCTTTTCCTCTGATCCTTAATAACAGATAGAACATTATCAGATGGCTGCACTTTTGGTTAACAGACTAACATTGATTTCCTCAATTTATAAAAGGACAGGCTCTGTAATTATACCATAACATTTTCTCCTCTATCCCTTAACTCGTCTTCCTATACAGATTTACTTACCTCTAGTCAGGTCAGGATTAAAGAAACATTCATCTGGTTGATTTTTTATTTTCAGGATTGAATGTTCAAACCGAGGCCTAAAACCTGGCATTTCATAAGAAAGTGACTAATATATAAACCAAATGTAATATTGGATCAAATACTACACCAACTGGAAAGACACAGATTAAAAATACAAATAAAGTCCCCTGGTTTGTCTCTAGAATCGAACTGCCATGAGAAAAATCCAATCAATGTTCCAAAATCCGTCACTAGATGTCGCTCATTGTACCAATACGGTTTATATAATAACATATTATTATTCTAGTAAAAGGGCTCGCTTTGGCAAAAACCTGAACCATACAGGCAGCCCTAAAAAATAACAAGTAACCATCATGTGTGGTGCTATCTGGAGTTGTCTGTCTTGTTTTTTGTTGATGTCATATTGTTTTCACAGTGCTGTGGAAATGAATTTCCCCCTGGGGACAAATCAAATCAATGTTCCAAAATCCGTCACTAGATGTCGCTCATACCATGTACCAATACGGTTGATATAATACAGATTACCACAACAGTGCTGTGGAAATGAATTCCCCGTGGGGACAATACATCTAATCTAAACTAATTTAATATTCAATCCCACACTTAGCGATTGAGAACATAAATTCGTAACTTACCTCGTTTAAAGCACTTTTGTTGTAATCAAGGGGCAAACTCTGGGGAATAGCCGGGACGCCAATACGGAAGTGCCACACACTGCAGTTCAGTGACGTGCGGTGAGGTTCATGGCTGGTGAGGCACTGACTCTTTCAGAGTCAGATTTACAAATATTATATTTTGACCTTAATCAAAATATTCGGTTATTTTCAAAAGCTTTTTTAGTCTGATGCTTCAATTCATTTTAAACAGACCGTTCAACAAAAGGATAGGCCTACCCACAATTTAAATATTGGATTGTTCTTTCTTAGTAAGATTCCATTTGCATTACAATTGTGGTCTTACCTTGACTTGAAGATTAAGTCCATGCTATCCTTCTGGACAACAATCTCTATTACTTTTTTGTAAAAGTCCTCGGCTCCTTATGTTCCTCTAGTTTCAAAAGTCTAGTTTGTTGTTTGCGTCTACCGCTACAGTCCCTGCGTAGAATAACAGTAGCAACAGGAACCTGTGGGCTCACTTGCGCCCCCTTCAGTGCGGCAGAGGTTATGGCTGCCTCCCCTGGTGCTTTTGTCATTGCCGTTGTATGATGAGACCAGCGAGCCTAAATATCATATATATACGTGAAATAAGTTATTTAGAGACTATGGATGGCGAGAATAAATGTAATAAAGCGATCTACAAACATTACATTGGTGACCTACAGTGAGATGGTGCAGGCATGCGCTTAGGGCCCGCTTTCCAGCCAGTTTCTGTGGGGTGACGCATTCTGAGGTGAGGCAGAGCTCATCTGTGCCTCACCTCACCCCACAGTAACTGGCTTGAGCGCGCTCACAAAATAAGTGCCCGCGGTACATTAGTGCCCGCGCTCCAGCCAGTTACTGTGGGCTTACGAGAGGCAGAGCTCGTCCCTGCCTCACTTCTCATCGCTACCCGTAGTTGTAGCGGAGCTAGGCAAATTTGCTGATTTTGACTATAAAAAGCGATTGGAATCAAACAAATCACATTTACAAAACAGATCAGTGGAGACATGTTATTATTATTACTATTTAGTTTCTCTTTAGTTGTTTTTCCGTTACATTGGAGTACGTCGCTGCTGCAGTTCATATATTGGCCGATAGGCGATGGCTGCAGAAAGGAGCAATTTCCATAGACCCCCATGTTAAAATGGCCAATTTTACAGCAGAAAAAAACATGTTTCTACCCCTGGCTCCATACATTTTTATTATCGATATAGTTAGATTCCACCTTCATGATTATGGATCTGTGAGTGAATTGTTTTCTAACACGACCCTTTTATTTATATTAGGTCTTAACGTTTTTGCATAAATTAGGACGTGGTCACTTTGAGTGACGGCTCTGTCAAGTGACTGCTGCTGCTAGCTTCTTGTCTCTCTGCTAGCTGCTCCGTGAAGCTACAGGGACTCTGCCTGCTCAGCTCATCCAGTAAACACAACTTGAAGCTGGCCGTGGTTGTTTGTTCTTCATGCTTATATATCGGACTATTGTGACTCGCTCTGCGGTTGAAACAGACGGTGCATGAATGCGGCAAGTGAAATTCGAGTGCTTTATTTATGTGTTAATGATTTTAATCAGCTACGTAATGAATGTTAAGGCTTGGGTTAGCGTGTAGCGAGTGGTAGCTACATCGGTGCTAACGATGCTAATCGTAGCCTCCAAGTTCAAATAATAGACTGTATATATAAAGGTTAAAACGAAATAGACGTTAAGTGGGATAATACTGTTGAACAAACGGCTTCTGTTTGAGGTTGATCAAATAAGGTCATCCTTGTAACGTAGAGAGATATTTTATTAGCCTATGTAGGTAGGAACTGTATGCATCGCTAAGGTTAATTTAAATTGGCTATGCTCAAGTATGTAGACAAGCTAACGTCAAAGTAGTGTATGTGAAATCAACCTCACAATAAGATGTGTATATTACAATTATTAATGTCATATTTCAAGATGATTACTTAGATATTACAATATGGTTGGTTGAGCTGGAGCATTATTGAGCTTACACGTTAACGTCACAGTCATCTGAAGAATGAACCCAAACCTTGTTGTTTTTATTAATTGCATTACCAAATGGGTATCAAATAAACAGTAAGCCTTGGTAACACAACTTCCAAAGTTACAGTAAAATAAAAAGGACCCTGACTCGGACAATACACAATCCAACATGTTCAACAGAAGAGAATCAGTTATATTGTTTGTACACATGGTACTTTACATATATATCTGTTTGTTTAAGGTGTCCAGGTGATGCAGACAGGCTGGACCAGAGAGTGAGAGACAGAACTGGACTCCTCACAGCAGTGAACTTCAGCACAGGTACAAAGACTCTTTTTTTCATACTGTACAAAGAATCAAGAAAGATATTGGTTTAAATGAATGAAGTATTGACTTGAATACACTGATATACATTCCATTAAACAATACTAAATACTAGATCACCTACACATCAGTGAAGTTGAGGGTTTTTTCCATGCAAAAAGTTACATTAAGATGTTAACAAGCAATATGATTTTGTCAGCTTTCTAATTTAATGTATTGAAGGCAAATATATTTAACACATAGTGAGAACTGCTACTATTTATCTCTCAATATTGTCTGTAAAAAACGTGGTAAAAGTTATTCTTTCAGTGAGACAACAGAGCAAGCTTCTACAGTTGCACTACGTTTTGATAACAGTTAAATATTATTTTGATAATAACATATATTTCAATGTTGATGAACTTCATACTGTTCATTCATAATCTGATTGTCTTTGTAGCTCACTGTTGAAATAAAAAAAAAACATTACAATTACAAAATAATTATATCTACAGCCCCTAAACACACAAACACACCTCTTTCATAAATAACACACTTGTTCTGCAATAATATGTTTTATGTTTCCTGTCATTTTTGTTAGGAAAGGACATGCCTGAAAGACACGACATGTTCTCCTTCTCTGAGGGTCCAGAAGAACATCCAAGAGGAACATTAAAAGCTGATGTTATGAGATTTTAAGACCAGTACAGGACATTCACTAAGAAACTACTTTTATTGTGAAAACACAGTCAGCTGATCAAATGCAGCTATTTCCACATCTACACTCCATCAGCTGATTATTTCTATTTGCCTAGCTTTATGAGCTTCACATCACTTGTGCCTTGTACCGCAGAGTTTGCAACATCACAAATAAATGGGGCCAATCTTCAGTCCGATGTGAATGTGTAATCTAACATTTTCAGTAAGAATAATGGACAAAAGGAGTGCAAATACAAATACAATTTATTGAAATGTGAACCAAAAGTTAATCAAATGTTTTAAATAAAAAGCACATATGGACAGAAGGTGTAAACCTATTAAATGTATAAGTAAACACATTTAGTCAAATAAAGTGACAGACTAGGCCTGTGCAGGTGGTATCAGCTTTACCCAGCATGGGCTCCTCCATCAGGCCTGGTCCTCCTCGCTGAGGAAAGACCCTCAGTCCTCTCCAAACCAACAGACTGGACGTCCATCACACGGAGGTTTCTCCATGAAGTCTCTGCAGCTCTCTGGACACCACGCTGTCTCAATCCGTCCACACTGAATATGAGAGGGGGAAAATGAAAATAATAAATGCTTTGGACAATAAGAAACATAAAGTTGACTGTTGAGTTGCTCAGTTTTTTTAGATTGTCAATACTATTACTGTATAACTAATATATCAGGTTAAGAGGCACATTCAAATAAAGATTGGTCTTTAAATACATGGTGTCTTTTGAATTGTTTGTCTAAAGTCAAGGATCTAGAACTGGTACTTAGTTTTAATGATACAGTCTGGTTATTATGCTGTTTGGAGGAGGCCTCACAGGTAAGAGCACTAACTAGCTACCATCACATGTACCTTAGCTTGACTTAAATGTATTAAACGTATAGTTAAGTGATATCAAAATACAAATAACTAATGTCATGCAAACATATTAATATTTGCTTGATTCCAGTGTAGAATTTAGCACAATTGCATTCAAACATTAAGGGGTTTTAAGATTCTGAAGTATTATGCTAAAAACTCAATAACTTAGATTATTATTTATAGTTTTGCTGAATAGTTTCATGTCCGCTTACCTTAGAAACGTAAAATGCGACGGCAGTGTGCAGATGGGGAGCATGTTAGCTTAGCTTGGTAGCTTCAGCTAGCTCTGGAACTTCCAGCTCGGTGGCAGCAGGTCCTGCCTCGGCTCCGCCTCTTTGCCCTTATTTGGAGCAGGCGGGAGTTGAACTCTGACGTCACTGTCGAGCCGTTAGTGAACGACTCCGCCTACTAAGGGCTTCTCTGCAACTCTGCAGAATCCTATGGGTGACGTCACGGACCCTACGTCCATTTATATATACAGTCTATGGTTGTAATACTATGGATTTAGTTGACACTACTAGCCGAGTTTCTTTTGTCAAATATTTTGCGGGAAGGTACATTGAATTAGAAGTAGAAGAAGAAGTAGTAGAAGAAGAAGTAGTAGAAGAAGAAATAGTAGAAAAAGAAATACGCTAACGATACAAACAGGCACAACACTTTTACTCTGTTTTTACTGACAAATAATGTTTTATTTCACGGTGGTGACCTGAAGTTATGTGACCGTGCTGTTGTTCCTTTATAGCACATCATTAGCCGCCTTTAGCTTAGCGGTGGTGACGTGAAGTCCTGTGACCGTGCTGTAGTTCCTTTATAGCACAACATTAGCCGCCATTAGCTTAGCGGTGGTGAGGTGAAGTCATGTGACCGTGCTGTAGTTCCTTTATAGCCCAACATTAGCCGCCATTAGCTTAGCGGTGGTGAGGTGAAGTCATGTGACCGTGCTGTAGTTCCTTTATAGCACATCATTAGCCACCTTTAGCTTAGCGGTGGTGACGTGAAGTCATGTGACCGTGCTGTAGTTCCTTTATAGCCCAACATTAGCCACCTTTAGCTTAGTGCTGGTGACGTGAAGTCATGTGACCGTGCTGTAGTTCCTTTATAGCCCAATATTAGCCACCTTTAGCTTAGCGGTGGTGACGTGAAGTCATGTGACCGTGCTGTAGTTCCTTTATAGCCCAACATTAGCCACCTTTAGCTTAGTGGTGGTGACCTGAAGTCATGTGACCGTGCTGTAGTTCCTTTATAGCCCAATATTAGCCACCTTTAGCTTAGCGGTGGTGACGTGAAGTCATGTGACCGTGCTGTAGTTCCTTTATAGCCCAACATTAGCCACCTTTAGCTTAGCGGTGGTGACGTGAAGTCATATGACTGTGCTGTAGTTCCTTTATAGCCCAACATTTTTGTAGTTCTAATGACAGCAGCAGTAATACCTGTACTATTTGTTGCAGGGTTCGACTCACAAAGTGGAGAACCACATGTTCCGCTACTACAACTTCGGTCGCATGAGGAAGAGCGCAGACTTCTTTCTGCTGCTGTCCAACTCGCAGTACGTCACCTGGTGGTCGCTTTTCCTCAGCCTCCTCATCGTCACCTCGGGCTACCTGCAGCTCCTCTTCCTCAAGAGACTCTTCATCAGCAAGAGCGGCACCGAAGAGGAGAAGCCGCGCTGCTGACAGAGGCACAAAACAACAGATCTGTCATCTAAAAGGTTCTTTTGTTTTTAAGATAACTATCAGATAACTGCATCCATAAAAAAAGAGAACCCAGGTCTTAATATATTTACTGTTGTATGTACTATATGTACTTGTACTTCTTTACAAAGCACGAATAAACTTGAAAAAAAAAAAACATACAGAGCCGTTTGTGATTTTTTTTGGTACACATTTTGTTGCCTTCCCTTTGCTTAAAGAGGCCCTATTGTGCTTTTGGGGTTCCCTCTTCTAGGTTTGTGTGCATGTAAATGGTCTGCAGAGGCTAAAGCTCAGTTGTTGGGGTTTTCTCTCCCTTGTGGTTTCTTATATGAGGCTCAAGTTCAACCAGGAAGACCGTCTTTATATCCAGTCATTCATATATTTCCATCTCACTACGCTCACCCTCCAATCAGCGATTGGGGGCGTTCACTCCCCTTCGTCTCTATTCCCACAATCCAATCCCAGTGCAGCATCCAACCTTTACATCTGCTCTCCCACCCTGCAGGTGACACAACGCAGCCGTCCTCCAAATCCAGGGTCAAGCTGAAACCTCTCCTCTTCAGACCTCCATCAATCCCTTCTTACCTTCATCACCACCACCAGAGTCTAGACCCCCTCAGTTTCCCTAAATGATACTCTACCCAGTCTCCGTTGGTCCACAGGGCAAAACGTAGTTTATTCACAAATAACCCTCTCAAGACGTGACATGGATACAATATTTGTTCCTATTAATTTCTAATGACCAGTGCCCGTGTCACGTGATCGCAAACTTTCCCAGTGAGAAAAAAAAACATGGCCCACACCCGATTTCTTTTTAATCCTAAATTGTAGTATAGTTTGGCCGTTAAAATGCTTTTTGATTACATTTCTAGAGAGAAGTTTATATTGTACTTTTAGAATCTACGTCCAGTGGATGTGTAGGATCCATAGTTTGATAGATATTATGAAGATTATTTGAGCTCCATGCTTTTTTTACAAAATATTGTATCCATGTCACGAAGAGGGTTATTTGTGAATATACTACTTTTTGCCCTGTCGACCAACGACATTACACGACATTAAAACTATTACACGTTTTTTTTGTGAGACTGGGTTGGATACTCCCAAACAACGGGGTCTAATCTGAATTATATTCATCTGTGTATTCTTTTTTTTTTAACTTTATTAAACTGTATGTATTTAACACATACAGTGTCAAAGACCAAAAAAAACAGGTGTGCAGGTTGTCAATTTTTGTATTCCCCTTTTAAAGGTCCCATGTCATGCTTTTCCGGTTATTACCCGTCCCCTTGTGTGTTATGAAGGTTTCTCTGCATGTAAACGGTCTGCAGAGTCACAAACCCTCAAAGTACACCCTGTAGGGATTAAAACTCTAACACAGTCTATGCTGCCCCAAAACGCCTCGTTGGAGATTTCTCATTTTCCATTGTTTACTTCCTGGGTACTGTGACGTGTGAATACCCAGAGGCCACACCCTCTGCCAGCCTTTCACAAAACAAAGCTTCCCAAACCTTTCAGCGATTCATGCCGGATATGTAAAGCGTAGGGCACTGAAGAACGATGCTGTTCCTACTTGGTTTGGACCAGCGGGAGATTCGGGTACACAACATGTAAGTATTCATTGTTGTTTGTGTATTTATGATGTTTAAAACTAACAAGGTATCTACCACGACTGTTTAAATGGGTAAACGTTTTTCGGGCTACTACGTTGGGATCGCGGAGAAATGCTCTCCACAGACCCATTCTCACAGCGTTATAAACCTTTTTCTTACTCAATATCAAGCCACACTTATTGTTTTTACTTCGGCTGTGAGTATTTGTGTGTGCTCAGGATGAGTTTCGCTTGTTCTCGCTGTATCGCCGAAGCCTGTCTGCTCCTCGCAGCAGCTGCGAGCAGCAACGAGCCTCTCAACGTCCCGACCAATCAAAGCACACTGGGCTCACAGGAAGGGGGGGGGGGCAGGAGATCCAACAAGCCGTTTAGGACAGAGAGTGAATACACGTACTTTACAGAGATGCTGTTTGAGAAACCAATGTGAGTTTGGAACATTGAACAACGTAAATATATTCTAGTATACCTCAACAATGGAATTATGATCAGTAGAAATGGCCATGACATGGGACTTTTAAAACATTAATAGTACAAACACATTTAAAATGATAGACAACCAAATCACAGCACAAAGCAACAACAACAACAACAACAACAACAACAACACATACAAAGGTTGGTCAGTTAGGGAAGAGTACACAGTTTCAAACTTTCCATTTACGTTAAAAATGGTGGCCATGTCCTATAAAATGTACGAGTGGAGCCACCCAAAGTACACTTTATTTTCTCCATGTGTAGAAACTGCATAAGCTCTGTCACCCACTGGACATGAGTGGGAGACGCCTCCTGCTTCCACCTCATAAGTATACGTCGCCTAACAATTAGGGAAGTTTGAATAATGTCTGGATAGGACAAAGTCGTTTCCAAACATCTGTGTATTCTTGGCAATACATATATATTGTTACATCAAAAACAAATCTCTCCTGATTGAAATATGTTGTCAAGCGTATGGCATTGAGATGTAGAATTCGACTTGCAACGATATGAACTAATCACTGAATGACTTTCATGAAACCTGGAACAAACAGCGTGCAGGATTGTGCTTTCTCTGATATGTTATCAGGCGTTTGTAAATGGTTAATCATTCTTTTGTCCGCTGATATCTGAGCGTTAGCAGCAGCTGCTCCACAGTGATCTTTGATGCATTAAATAATGTAGTAATTAGTAATACGTTTAGTCATACATCACATTTCAACAACAAGTCTTCACAATAACAAATAAACTGTTGTTCCGGTTATAATAAAATGCTATAAACATTGTTAAGCCCCGAGCCTGTTTTTCAGGTCTCAGGCTCTAAAATGACATTCCCAGAACAAATGACCATATCTTCCCTTCTAAAAGGGTTAAATTAATAATCTTTTTTCTCAAAGAAAGGTTACACCTGTGAGTTGGATGTAGAAGTGTCAGAATCAATATAGATGTTTTTATTTTAAAGTAAATTCAGATTGAACACAGTAAAAAAAATTACTTATAGTGAAAACCACCCTTGAATGATGGGATGGTATACTAAAAGCTTTAGGAATCCAAAGTACAACTTATAAGTACCCTGTATCAAGATTGATGCAAAACAAGTGATATTTGACCTTTTTAGACAGATTTAGCAAACAAAACCTCTTCTGGGGTCATTTGGGTGGATTTTCCATATCTCTGGCCCCCCTTCTTCGATTTTGACATGTGACATCTCTTTCTGACCGTGAGTGCCAATAGAATCGAAGGGAAATCGTCCCGCACACACTCATGTTAAAAAAAAGATGACGTTTTTGCGCATTCAATGAAGCTACAGAGCGTAGGAATGGCCTGCTCTAATATTTTAAAACGGTATTGCAGTTGTATTGCTTATAGATTATCAGAACATTTCAAAGGGGACACAGCCACATTGGATATTAACCTATGGATTAACTACATCATCGTTGTTATCGTTGTAATGCCATTGAAGACCAGTTTAGACCAGACAAAGACGAAGGTAAGCCATGTTAGCGTTGTGGGCTACCTAGCGCCACTTGTTTTGATGTACGTTTTTGTTGATAATGTCGCGAGTTTGGATCTTTCAGTGTTGAGGTGGGCACCGTTAGATTCTGTGTCTCCTTGCGATCATAAACGATGTGTTGGATGTGCACCTACGATAAGTAATAAGGGAACTAGGAGTGATTATCGGTGCAGTAATAGGTTAGCAATTTTCGATCAGGGGTCATTTAGATGCTTCTTATTAGACTTGCGTTTTGTTTTGGTAAAAATTGTTTGTATCGTCAGTTAGCTGAGATTATTCTTAAATATTAAGATCCCCTGAGACAGTGTCATGAGAAAAAAAAACAAGGGTACCCGCCGGCGGGGACCTTGGGGCTTACACCCCCACTTGTTCTCAGGTTGCTGTACTCCAAAAATGTAAACAAAATACCAAAAAGAAAATGTGTACTTCCTCACACATTTTAAACTCCAAAAATGATTCCTGCAAACTTCTTCAGTTTCAGCTTAGTTACAGGTTTTGCCATTATTTCTGCCACCATCTCTTCAGTAGGGCAGTACACCAGAGTTACTTTCCCATCCTTTACAGTTGATCTTATGAAGTAGTACTTTATGTCCACGTGCTTACACCTCTGTCTGCTTATAGGGTTTTTGGCTAGGGCAATTGTTCCCTGGTTGTCCTCATACACTACTGTTTGTGTATATTTGTACTCATCGATACCCTCCAGTAACTGGTCTAGATACACTCTTGTATAGTTGAGGCCAGAGCCATGTATTCTGCCTCACAGGTGGAAAGTGCCACTGTAGGCTGCTTCTTACTCTTCCATGAGACTAAAGAGCTGTTGTTACTGAGGATTACACAGTATCCTGTGGTACTGCGCCTGTCGGTGACATCAGCTGCCCAGTCGGCATCACTGTAGGCTAGTAAGCCTAGCTTCTCACTATCGTTTCTTCTGAAACACAACTCTTTCTCTATAGTGAGTCCAAGGCAGGCATGGGCAAACTAAGGCCCGCGGGCCACATACGGCCCGTTGGACCTTTTAATCCGGCCCGCGGAATATTGGTACAAAATTGTCCAAATTATAGTAATGACCGCATTAATTTTGCCTTTTTCCTGCAATTCCCGTAATTTCAGTTTATTCCACTAGATGACGCACTCTAGACACAATTGACCACTCGGCAACCCGGCAAGATCTAAGAACCGCATATGTCACCCTTACAATGGAGGGGGTCGAGATGAACCTGAGCAATCATGGCGAGTACAGCGAATACAAGTTGTAACAAGTAGTAGCGCTGAGCAAAGCGACTAAAACGCGACCACACACTTATAAAAAACACTTATATTAAGTCAGGCAACACTAACCAGCTTAGTGTGATTCTGTTTATTTTACCTTATTTTAATAACCAT